TTAAAATTTAAAGGCTAATTATTAACTCAGTTCCCTGACACCCTGTAGAGAAAATGAAAGTTCCTATGGCCAGGATTCTCACCCAACCCTGGTCGACCTGCCCACTGCCCACATGTGGGCAGTACATTGTTACTGACTCTATATAAACAGCTTGCTCAGAGCTCTGGGCTGCATGGCTGCAGGAGAGCAGAGACTGGAGAGGGGTAAGTGCTGAGGACAGAGACTGAGATAGCTGCGGAGGTGCAGAGAGGCCGGGAGACAGAGACCTGCTTGCTGCCTGCAGACTTGCTCTGAGGCAGACGGAATTCTAGCACTTGACATGCCACCATAAGAATAAAGCTGGGTCCAAACCCTTTGATCCCAAGAACTTTCTATTGTCATTTTTCCTTCTCACTGAATCAAAACGAACTTGCCTGGGATGGAAACCCATTAGTGAGACACACCCCATGTCCAAAAAACTCATCCCTGTGGACATTATTATAGTCTCATGTTTCCTGCCACAGTATTTTAAGAGAGGATGAAACTCACTGTAGTCTCATGAGGAAGGTTGCCAAGGCAATGCACCTATTTTCACAGTGCACTTGACCGCTGAACAGACTACTCATTTGAGAAAAATGTGCAAAGCAATATGGAACAACTAGACATTCTGAACATTATGGAAACTGCTCAAGGGCATGAACTCTGTCTGCTTTGCTCTCTCTCACCTATTTAGGTGCCTAAAATAGGGCCTTGAAGTACTTCACAAAACATGTATTAAATGAATGAATGACTGAATGAATGGCAGTAGCAGATAGTAACAGCAATTTCATGAGGCTAAGTTATCCTCTTCCCAATTTTGGATCAGAACATGGGAGCAGTTACATGCCTGTACACACTCCTCAGGCATTTCAGAAATATTTTAAACAGGAGCAAGCAAAAATAAAAAGAACAATTTCTTTAAAAGTTATAGCAAAATTCAGATTTTCAGAAATTTTTTCCATCTTAGACAGCCTCCTAAAACCACTGATTAAGAAGTCCTTGGCCATGTGAAGGAAATTTTGCAAAATAAGGTTGCATGCTATGGATGGAGTGGGCATAGATTTTTGGCCAGACACTCTTGAACTCAAATCCTGACTTCTAAATGATTTATTAGCTGTACCACCTTGAGAAAATCCTGCTAGCTTGTTTAAATGTCAGCTTCCTCACTGGTAAAATGGAATACCTAATGCACTGAGTTATGGTAACAACTAAGAAAGATTAATAGTGACAAGTACAGTGACTGGCACTTAGTAGGCTAAACAGATATGAATATCCTCCCCTACTTCTCTCCCTTCCTTTCCCTATTCTTTCCTTCCCTGATACCCAATGATTCGCAAACCATAGGGGTAGATGAGATCATGTAATTATTTTTAAAATGTTCTTATTCCTCCTGTTGAAAGGCTTTTTAAAAACATGAGTTGGAGGAACTCTAAGCTTTCTACTAATTTTTTTTCTGAGTGTCAGATCTGATACATTAAATCCTATTACATAACAAACAGGGAAGCTGGGAGTTAGAACATAAAAATTCTTGTAATTAGGCATTCGAAAAAAAGAAGACTGTGGCTTTCTATTCTACTGTCGTTACCTCTGAAAATGGTTAAAGAGATACAATCGAAGAGGAGGTGACCCTTGCTTCTGAAGTTACTGTTGCCTTAGGAGCTTTAACAGGAACATCTGTTGGCTTTTTAACAAAGGAAGCTGGAGGGGATCAAGGGAGAATGGAAGAGACTATGGTGCACAAGGGAGCTACATCTGTTTGGTATTCTCCCAACTGAGAAAGCTTGATTTCTTAAATAGCATGGGTATTCTAGTTAAACTAGAATCTAGGAACAGATGAAAGCTTTTCTTTCCTCCATGTTTCAATGGTAGAGATCAACAGCTGTTTATATCCTTTAATATCTAACTAAGGGTGAAGCCTTCACATCTGTCAGCATTTTCCGGTTCTATTTCCTTGGATCACAGTGGGGAGGAGGTGAAGTTTGAACCCTCCCACTTCCCAGAGAAGAACACAGAAATATGCCTACGACTCAGAGCCGTAATGCTAAGCAGAGCTCCCCATTTCTCATCTACCCAGGGTCTGCTGTTTGCTGAGAATTCTTTTACTTTATCCTGACAGACATCTTGATCATTTCCATGATAATGACTCATGGCAGCACAAAGATCAAGAAGAAGAAAAGTAGGCTGGACTCAGAGGAGAGGAAGAAGAGGAGGAAATTAATTCTAATTGAGAAAGTGGCTCCTAATGATAAGTTCTTAAAAAGATTGCTACAGTATTGTCCAAGGCAAATAACAGAGGTGAGCAGGATACTCTTCAAGACACTCAAGGTGGTGGTAGATGGTGGTGGTTTCATTGATCCCTAACATTTCACCTTGGAACAGTGAAACAAAAAAATAAGCTGTGGAGGCAAGGTATAGGAAATACCCAGCATGGTGAGAAAGTGATTCAGAGACATTTGTTTAACTTTACTCTGATCACTAGCACCACATACATGTTGACACTTCAAATTCATCTATCTATCCATCCATCCATCCATCCATCCATCCATCCATCCATCCATTCAATGACTTGCACGGCATGAAGATTGGACTTTGAGCTGGGATATTCAAGTGAAAAAGACATATTCCAAAATTTTAAGGGGCTTACATTCTAATAGGAGAAATCTTTCACAGAAGACATAGTATAAAGGATGCATGAAAATTCACTAGATAGAGAAGGTGGATGATTCCAGAAGGAGAGCACAACAAGGATAAAAACCAGAGAGGTAAGAAACAGGGGAATGAAAAGCATTCTTGGTGGTTACAAGAAAATGCAGAAGTGGTGGGTACTTATTAAAAGTACAGATTCTTAGGACTACCTATGAGATTATGATTGAGTTGTTAAGGGAAAGGGCCAAGGAATTTGCGTTTTGAACAGAAGGCCCACGTAATTCTGATACATACAGAAGTTTGACAATTCTAACTTATATAGATGAACATTTCCCAAAAGATGCTAATGGTGTTTCATTTAAAAATGAGGTTCAAATTAGGAAACACCACACACTAAAATATTTCTTTCTTAGAGATTTATAATGCACATTAACATATAAAAAGTCCTGCAGTAAAGAAATCAACTTCATTCACCATTTTCCAAACTTATTCTTCCAAGGGGGAAAAAAAATCACAGTACACCTATTAAGATCTCTCAGAATACTAGTGTACCATGGAGCATACATTGGGAAGAACTGAAATAGAGGATTCTGATCAGGTGAGTTTGTTTCCCAAGCCCACTGAATGGTAAGGAAATCTCTAGAAAAAGACAGCAAAGTCAATTACTCTGGGGGATATGGCGGCATCCACTGATTTCCTCCAAGCAAAGTCTAAAATCACCTATGGTGTCCTATTTTCCAAGCAGACTGCCAGAAGCTTCCTCACATTCAAGTAACAAACCATGGCTCTGTGATGTTATTTCTGGTCACCAACTCCATGCGGTAACCACCACTGCCAGAGAGAACAGAAGTGTCCGAAGTTCAAAGCATCAAGGAGCAGAAACAGAAGAAGAAGGACAAAAAGGATTTTATTTATCTCTACTGCAATCACATGTTCTACACAGAGCAATGGAAGTTGCTTGTAATCCTTTTGGGGAAAAAATATTCCTCCCAGAAACAAAAGAAGCCTCTGACAGTCAATGGAAGTACAAGCCAGACGTGAAACTAAGAAACTCCCACCTCTCTCCAAAGTGCCTGTTACATGGCAGGGGAGGTTTTGAAAACTGTTCTCTTCCTCTTCTGCTGGTTCTCCAAGGGGGTTTGCACTACTACCCACCCACCTCCCTCCCGAACAAGGGACAGCAGAGAGAAAGAGCATTAAGGAACTGGACAAGTCAAAGCAACACAAGGATTCTGAGCAAATTGGTTTTTGCACTGAATATTTCAAGATGTATATACTGCCCTAATCAATTTATACACTTTCCCCCTCATCCCTGGTATTAACTTAATTATTCCCATACATTCCACCTCCACTTTCCATATGCCAGAGGAGGACACACACACCCCATCTAGAGATGATTTCAACAATATGTTTCAAATACTTCTTTCCTACCCCAAGCATCTCAGAGTTTTTTAATAATAGCACTTTCCAATAGCACAAGTATTTTTTCAGTCATTCCACAAATACTTTCTGAGTGCCTACAAACGTTCCAGGGCACCATGTTAGACTCTGGAGATAGAACAATGGAAGTAGGAGACTGCTCATTCCTATTGAATCTAGGGCCTAACAAACCTGAATTTTAAATATAGTCTGTCACTGCATGGAAAATCCAGTTACCAGCAGCATAAAAAAATAGAGAGACAGAGAAAAGGTTTGGTCCTTTCCCTTGAAGAATTTTATGGCTCAGAGGACAAAGCAAATAAATGCATTTGCATTTCATGTGTTCTGGTGGGTGTAGCAGCTATTACAAGGGTCCCAAGTTAACAATACTGCATCGAATTAATGACCTGTGATCAGGAAAGGAAAGAACAGAATGCCAGTATCTTTATTTCCCCAGAATGTCGACACCACGTTCTCTTGATCCTCAAACAGATCCATGGATTCTCACACTGGGATTTCTTAACCTAAGAGATGAATACCAATAAATGCACCAGACTTAATGTAACTTTAACTAGTGAATTAGCCAAAAAATAAAAACCTTAGCCAGGATAACTGGGTGAGTTTAGTCCTAAGAAAGCCAACAAGATCAAACGTAACATTCACTAAGTCAATGTTCCCTAGCATGTGGTATATATATACTGAGGACATACAAAATAATTTTAAATAGTTAACAGTTTTAATTTCCATGAGATTCTTAGATGGAAAAAGAAACTGCAGGATTTGGGTGATGGAATTTAGGGAAACATTGATACGGGTGCCACCCAGCATTCAAACGCAGTCCTGTAAGAAGCCTCTGCCAGCTTCCCAAGCTCCAGTGGGATGTGCCAAAATGACCAAGAAGCTGGTTGCAGACTTACCCACACACGTTGGAAATATGTCCTCGTTGTTGATCTGGACCTCGATCCAATCCATAAGAAGGTTCATGTACTGGGGAGCGGGCAGGGCAGTTGGCTTCTTGTACTTGAGGTCATCCTGCCACCGATACTCGTATTTGGGGCCCCCTGACATCACGGGGCAGGTCTGCTCGGTGCAGAACTCACAGATGGTGCCATAGATGAGGTTGATGCGATTGAAGAAGTCTACCACGTGCACTGCCACCCAGTCGTTCTGGTCCTCCCCGCTGGGCAGCTGCACAGCCGCCTTCAGATCCACGCCTGAGTTCAGGGACGCCTGAGCCCGTTTGTGGAGCTCAAACCTCTGTGTGCCGGGTTCAAATTTCCTCTTGGGCCGAAAGGTCTTGTCCTTATTGAACACCTGCTTCAAGGCTATGGACATGGTCTCCTTTTCTTCCTTTCCTTTGCAGGAAGTAAAAAGGCACCTGGGACTTTTCAATGAGAGGTCACAACCCAACAGGGTTTTCCACTGCCAGCCCTGTGGCCCCAGTCTGGCAATCTGCAGCTTTTCAACCCTTTTAAATGGCCCCTTCCATTTTCCTCTTGAATAATTTCCAGGGAGACCTCATGTTTCTTCTTCCTGAAAGCTGAAGAGAAAAGGTTCTTATTAGTACCCAGTTTGCATGTAAGAAATGACAAAGGCTTAGACCTGATTTCCACCTTGCTTCTTGCCATGCCCACTTCCATCCAGGTATAAGGAGGTTAGGCTAAGGCAAACTCCTGGGGATCTGTCCTGGTGATTCAAACCATGCAAATAACCAAAGAAGAGAAGGCATCCCACTTTTCCTTCATGGCCTTGGTCAAATCTCTGGCCACTCTTCCCTGTGTGGTCATAGGCTCACCAGACCTCTCCAAGGTGTTAAGGATGAACATGTGTTTGCCCTTAACCCCTTTTTCAAGCATCAGGCTCACCCCCAACGCCCTTATTGAGTAAGCATGGGTACCACTACACCCAACCTCCTGGATACAGATAATTAGAGCAGGTATACACCAAGCTGATTAATAAGAATACCTCCCCTGGGAGTTTGGAATCAGGACCCAGCCTTTACTAAGCATTGTCACTGAGAAGTGATGAGAACTGGGTCTGATTGAACCCTACTTGTACCATGTGTAGTGCAGCTGAGAAAGGTGGTCTTCAGAGATGAAAGGGAGGAGAAAAGGAGGAGGAAGAAGATGGGGAAGGAAGAAGTCACTGACAGAGAAACAGACAAAAGCACAGTGACCACAGGGAAAGAAGACAAAAGGAAAACACAGGGACAAGGAGAGAGTGGCTCCCTTAGAAGGCTCCTGATAATCTTCTAGGAATTGGTTCTGATTGCCTTTGAAGCCTAGCTGTGATTCCAGCCATTAGGATCTGTATGTTATTCCTGAATTAGTCACATAAACCCCTTGTTTTACTTCTGTTTCTTTCCAAGAATCCTTAACTGTGCCAGCCTTTACATCTTCAATGTCACACCCTAGATAGTGCTTTGAGGCAGAGCTGTCCAATAAAACTTTCTGTGATAATGCAAATATTCTGTATCTTTGTTGTCCAATATGATACCCACTAGCCACATGTAGCTACTGAGCACTTGAAATAGAGTAACTGAGGAATTGAACTTGTCATTGTAATTAATTTAAATTCAAAGCCACATGCAGCTAAGGGCTACCATATTGGATATGCAGCTTTGAAGTTTTCAATGTTCTCTTCTCCATTATCTTGTTTGATTCCTACAAAATTCTGGTGAGGTTTATAGTAAATATAGATTTGTAGTAGGCATCATTATCATTATGTCTGGGTCTCCAAGAAATAAAATTACTTGCCTAACAAGGTCTCATAGCTAGTAGGGGCATGGTTAGTACTGAAATCCAGTTTCTTGACTCCTAGCAAATGCTTTTTCCACGTTGCTTTTTAATATTCCACTTTTTTATATTCCAAAAAGTGATGCCCTTCAAACAGTCTTTCCTGCTGATTCATGAAGCCCCTTATCCAGAGTTTCCATCCACAGATTCTCCAAAGACCACAGTATAGACTGGCTGGAGGTGAAGACAGTGTCCTGTGGCCGAGAAACAAAGAGGAGACGCCTGCTCCCTTCGTGGGTCAAGCCCCAGCAAAATGAGCCAAGAGCTGTGACCGGAGTCAGAAGAGCCTATCGTGGGATCTGTTAAAATGGCCTTGGAGCACAGTCTGTTCTTTCCCTACCTAGAAGGGGTTTTGCTATTTCACACTCAGTGGCTTGGTGATACATTCAACTTTAAATTATTCAGGGAAAAAGAAATGCACCTGATATATCCCAGTCCCCTCTCACAGATTCTGCCCTTTGCTCAGAACCGCTGCTCATTCGGCGGAATGTATCCTTTGACCACTCCCTACAGCCTCTGGCTGCTCATTTCCTCCCTCTTAACTCCACCCTCTTCTTACTAGGTTTTCATTAGAATGTCACACTGGTGAGGTGTTTTTTCCTTCTCACACGGCACTGGGCATACACACGCCCACAAAGACAGCCGTGCGAAAAGCAGGTCCAGTGAAACTGCATAGACAGTGAAATCCTGTTCCTGGGATGCAGAGCACCCCTAGGACACCTATCACCACACAACCTGTGCAAACTCTAGAGGAAGGAAGGAGCAATGTCTTCTTCAAAAGAATACTTCCCAAAGGCTTAGTCTGCCTGGAAATAGGCTTAGAAAATTGAGGGCCTTGAAAGGGCATTTCCCTAAAAAATATGAGCCAGAGGTTAGGAAGATGGAGAAAGGATCATGAGGACCTGATTTGTGTTTTTTCTTTAAAAACAGACGATGATCCCTCTGTATTGAAAATGCTGAACTGTGGATATCAAAGCGCCAACAACCCAATAGGTGCCCCATCACGTCTCCAACAGGTAAGACTTGCTGCCCTCTCACTCTAACAATGAGGCTGCACCCCACTGCGCCCCAATTCCCATGGTCCTTAGGGAGTCTGCTTCTGTCGCCTTACGTGGCCTGGGAATCCCTAGTTCTGCTGTTGCCCAGCGGCCCGCAGAGTCTGCTTGCACAGACACCGATGGGGGACCTTCCTCCACACCAGCGCCAGACTCTTCTGGATGCCATCAGGAGACCCTCTTGCACCTCTGATGAGAGCGTATGAATAAAACAGAATAATCAGAGCAAATCCTCCTCATCACAAAGCCCTGAGGTGATGGTAGTCACAAATGTTTAATAAGTATTAAAACCCTGTTTGAAGTGTGGGGCTTTTTCTTCCAGAGATACTTAGATAATAAACTTTAAGATATCAGTCTCTTGAACCAGATGTGTTTTTATCCAAAACATTAACCAGCTTTAAAATCACTCTCTTTTTGCCCCAGTGTATCAGGATTACTTGAGGGAAAAATCACCTTTTGGAGGATTATTTCTCAAAGAAGTCTTGGTCTAATGTGCCACTCTTGGCTACCATTTACTAAATCTCTACTATGCACCAGATCCTTCATATGTATCATTAACATTTTAATCCTCATACAACCATTTTAAGACGTTCTCTGGAGAGGGGATAGGCTGGTTGGTGGGCTCCCCTATTTAAAGACAATGGCAATCCAGGATGTATAAAACAAATTCATCATACCACTGAATGTCTGAACAAAGAAGCATCTGTCTGTGTCTTTATTTAAGTGTCAGCTGCTCTGCTGGAGCAGGTACCCAAGAGTTCTGAAATGAAAGAGAAGAGGAAATCCACCTGGAGGTACTTTCCAACCTAGAGTCCCTCTGGGACGCCTGCCCATAATTTATACTGTAGGCGTATTAGATGGTCAGAGCAGTGCTTCTCAAATGTTAGTGTGGGATCTTGTTAAATTCAGGTCTGGATCCAGTAGGTCTGGGGCACCACCCCCTCAGGCCTCAGCACAGTCATAGTAGATCTAAGTCTGCACTGCAACAAAATCTCAGGAGAAGTATATCCTTTGAGGAGCACTGGCTTGCAGGGCAGCCTGATGGGCTGGGTAAAAGTAAACTTCCATTTGTTGTTTCATCAATGGCTTGCTTCATAAACATAGTCTTTAGTTGTGTGTGTGTGTGTGTGTGTGTGTGTTTGAGAGAAAGAATGAGGAGAGGCTCCCTGTTTGAACATAACTGCCATAACAGATGGTGGCAATGACTGGGTCTTCTGGTCTAGACTGATTTGGACAGCACAGTACCCAGACCCTAAGAGGTCCTGAGTGAATGCCTTTTCCTAAGTAACAGGTGGAATGTGGCTCCTGCTACTGCTCCAGCAGCCTCATGTAGAAAAGCTTCTTAGGCTAAATAAAATATAGCATTAGCAAGAACACAGTTATCATTCTTTGTCCTTGTCCAGTCTCCAGAAAGGAAAGAACAAGTATTAAGTTTGCCCCCTGGGTAGAAACTATGATCAAATTCTGTGTTATGAACAGCACCCACTACAATGCTGGTTCTCAATAAACATTTGAAACCAAATGCTCATTCAATCAATAAACATTTATGAAAGGCCTTTAAGTGCCAGCCTCAGGGCTAGGCACCAAGGACACAGAGGTAATTCAAACTTGGACTCTGCCTTTGAAAAGTCCACAATTTGCTGTCTCCTTTTGAGGTAAGTTTATTTCATGATTTTTTAGGCTACAAAGTTAAATGCACCACCATGGAGAGTGACGGGATACTTTCATATTATCCCAGTCAGGAATGAAAAGGACAAAGAAGAGTGATGTCTTACGGAAAGAAAAAATGGAAAACCAAATAAACAGCATAGAATTGACAGGAGCTCCATGTGCTCTCCATATTTTCTGCTTAATACATCAATTATAGCAATAAAACATGACTATAAAAACATGCAGAGAGAATTCAGCTGGGCTGCAAGGGAATGTTGACAATGTAGCTAAGCAACACTGGCAAGGGAAGTTCTTGTTTTTTCTTTTCCTATTGATGTCTTCTGCTTTATTAGTTGAAAAATGAGGGCCCTTGCCACGGAAAAGGAAGAAATGAAACAACTCTCCCATCCACTCCTGGAGATCCATCTTTTCTGGGTGACTACCTCTAAAGAGACCATAATACTGAACAGAGAGAAGAGACACCAAAGCTGATACTAGTTGGAGTAAAGAAGTTCAGTATCTCATCTGTGGGGTGGATGAGTCCTCCTGGTGGGACCAGCTGGCAGGGAGAATCCCTACAGGAAGGCCAAGGAGAAACAGCCCAGGAGTACCCCCACATGAGGGACGTGCTCTGCCATCTTCATTGCTGGTGTCCCAGGAGCCAGGAGGGTGGCTGGCACAGAGCCAGATTCCCAAAGGCTTAGTCTGCCTGGAAATAGGCTTAGAAAATTGAGGGCCTTGAAAGGGCATTTCCCTAAAAAATATGAGCCAGAGGTTAGGAAGATGGAGAAAGGATCATGAGGACCTGATTTGTGTTTTTTCTTTAAAAACGGACGATGATCCCTCTGTATTGAAAATGCTGAACTGTGGATATCAAAGCGCCAACAACCCAATAGGTGCCCCATCACGTCTCCAACAGGTAAGACTTGCTGCCCTCTCACTCTAACAATGAGGCTGCACCCCACTGCGCCCCAATTCCCATGGTCCTTAGGGAGTCTGCTTCTGTCGCCTTACGTGGCCTGGGAATCCCTAGTTCTGCT